TAATAATGAATAGTTTAATCCATAGATCAAATGTGATACATCCACTTTCATTTTAAATTTACTTTAAAAATCTAAACTAAGTCATAATACCCTAACTTACAATTATAGGATGAGGTTCAGCCACTGATGTTGTGTGACTCTCTGGATATTGAACATGGACCAAATTTTAGAGCTATTTCTCACTAAATACTGCTTAGCATACTCTGCAAAGTGCAAAGTCACTGAGCATATCATACTAAAAAAAGCATTAGGGTGATATATTTGTACCTTGGGAAATAGTACTTTTCTAATGAACTCTTTGGCTGTGTTCAATTTTGCATTTCTTGGTCTTTTGCACCATTTACATGGAATATAAATGACTATTATTTTTTTCTGCAATGACTAAAGAAAGTCCTCCATTGCTAGGACAGTCAAATACTTGATGACTGAGGCAATTTGCTCAAGATTGAGCCACATCAAGGATTTAAGAAACTGGTTGCTAAGCCTTAGTAGCATAAAAAATTGTGATATTTCATGGTATCTGGGATTTTCTTCAAAGTAAAATCGGGTGGGGCTGAAGCATGGATAAAACAAAATTGACCATGCATAGATAATTATATGCTGGGTAATGGGAATTTGGAAGTTCATTATATCATTTACTTTTGTATGTTTGAGATTTTCTATAGTAATAAGTTTGAAATGAGAGAGATAATAATTTTAGTCTAAAACATTGTGATATTTCAACCTTTAAGTGATAAGTGAAGGTTGAAATATATTGCCAAGATATATTACTTGAGCAAAGTATAAAAAAACACAAAAGAATCCTTATGGACATTGTCATGAGTAAATGGTCTCATCCCATTCCTCATTTCGAGAACTTAGGTGAGGTCCCATCTTGACTTCCTGCTGTGGGGAAAGTCCTAGGGCCTACATGGAGCACCCCTGTAGGGTGTTCCAGCCGGTAGCCCCTGCTGAGGTCCCAGCTGGTAGCCAGCATCGGCCTCCAGACGATAGAGTGAGCAAGCTTTCCAAAGATTACGACCCCAGTCATCAAGCCACTCCCCACCCAGCTGAGGCTGCAGCTACCGTGGAGCAGACACGAATCTTTCTTGCTGCCCCCTCTCTGAATTCTTACCCACAGAATATGTGAGCACAAGAAAATGCTTGTTGTTTTTGTAGTGAAGTTGGGGGTGATTCGTTACACACTGGTAGTGACTGTTGCATATGTGATCGAGGGAGAGCACAGCCAGAATAAATATGTTGATGAGGGAATGAAGAACCTTATTTCTCAGTGATCATCTCTTTCCAAAACGTGCCCCGAAGACACATCTGTACTCAGTGATTGTGTTTTAGTGGTATGCACAGTTTTTACTGTTTGCATCAACATGACGACTTCCAAGATCAGAAGCTGTGATTTCCCCAAATAAAGTAGTTGGAGGCTTGGCCATCAGGTGCCTCCTTTTAATTCTTACTCCACCTTCCCCTTCATCAGGACTAACTTCACCAGCTGGAACTGAAGCACCCCGGCTTCCTGCCCCGTTCCCCTAAACAGATGAATTGGGAGCCCAGAGGGACAGCCTAATCTGTAGGCTGGACATGGAAGGGGGATGTCAAGGAGCCTTCTCCGTCCATCTGACCCGAATCCCTGCTTCTATATTATGTAGGCATCGCCCTTTATTGCTGCACCCATAGCTGGTGCCTTTTCTGTCTGATTCCATCACGTTTTTCCACTCCACTTTGCGCCATGAGGAAGAAACTCTAATTTGTTTTTCTGTGATAAACAGAATAAAAAGTTGTCCAGCACTGCCGCCATGTATATGTATGACAATTCTATTAAGACGAGGTTTATACTCTGTGTACAGGTGTTTGTGCTAGTGTATGTCAGAGCACCTGCTAGCTTTAACACTAATGTTTTATTTCTCAGCCTCAGTGCTAGGTCCACAAGACAAGGGTTTGCTGCATTTTTTATTATATGTTTTTATGTCTTAAATATTTCATACTATTCACACATGTGTAGTAATTATTAATTACTCTGCACATTTGTCATTGATGTCATGTGACATCCATCAGTGTCATAGGAATGGAATTTTCTAATAGTCCATCCTGTTTTCTCTCTTAACAGCATATAGGTCCTTACTTAATGGACAGTTTTACAAGCTTCTTATTTGTGTAGTATATTTTACTTTAGGATAAGTTTGCTCTAAGAAATGCTCCTTAACAATGATGGTAGTCTTTTCTTAAGATATGAAATTAATATTTGCTCTGAAAAACATTATTTTGTGGGATTTTCTGGAAGAAAAAAAAGAAACATCACTGTACAAACACTCATGTTTAACATCTCCTGTTCCTGATAAAACAGATGTTCTGCATGGAAACATTTACTGGGTCCATTATTTTAAAGGGTTGAGTTTTTTTTTTCCTCACCCGAGGACATTTTTCGATATTTTGTTCAGATAGAGTGGGAGGGAGAAGAGAGAGAGAGAGAAACATCGACGTGAAAGGGACACATCCAGTGGTTGCCACCCGCACGACCCAACCAGGGCGGGGGACAAACTGCAACCGAGGTACGCGCCCTTAGTGGGAACCGAACCCGGGTCTCTCCAGACAGCAGGTCAACGCTCCAACCACTGAGCCAAACCGCCAGGGCCAGGGTTGAGTTTTAATACATTATATATCAAACAACACCGCCCCACCAATTTCTCAAAATGTAGCAGAAACACATTCAAATATCTACTATAAGTAACAAAGTAACACGTGAAGTGGAATTGTTTAGAATGTAACTTCCTGATCATCAGACATTTAATATGGTTGTTAACAAGCACCTGCTTCTTATGCAGGAACAGGTACATAAACATCACATCATAAAAAATGTGATGTTTATGACATTGAGCAACAAAAGATGTGCTCAATAAATAAAATGTATTAGAAAAATGCTGATAAAAATACAACACTAGCAGAAACGTCCGGTCATGGACTCTGAGGCAGAGACTCAGAATTTGAAGAAAATTTAAGCACTGAGGAAGGAGAGAGAGTTAAATCAGGCGTCTCCAAGCCCCTTTTTCTTTTTGATGGTTTGGGAAGGCCATCTGCTAGAGTTGGCTGTCAAAGGGGCGATTTCAGAGGAACTGATAGAGATTAATAGCATTCTGTCATCACTCTGAAGCTTCCACACTGACTCCCGAGGAGGACGACTTAGAATAAAACAAACTACAAAGTATACCTGTGCTCACCTCCTGCTGTTTCAGTTGGTGCATCTCTCTTTGCCCTGCTGAGTGGTCGCTATCATCGTGATTGGACTACACCCCGGGAACCTCAGAAATACGCATCCCTTCTGTTGATTACACCTGGCTCTGATGTCATATCAACTGGACTTAGAATGTAACTCAAACACTTCCATGCAGTGTTTTGTAAAAATGGTGTATCAAGTTTGGGACAGAAATACAAATTTGTCTGTAATGAGCAGCAATGGCAGTAAAAACCAGGATGTTAACCAGACAGAATGTCCACGGAGCTGCACGCCATTCTCTCTTTTCCTAACAACCCCGACCCCGGGACTAGGGGTGGGTGGGTTGCCAGTCCACCACAAACCTCTCTTTCAGGCTTCCTGTCCAAAATCATCCGTTCTCAGATCGACTCACCCAGCACGCTCATTTTGTAGTCTGTTTGTACTGGATTGCTGTTACCTGTTGACAGTTATGAATTTACTCTGAGTTATACTTATTTTAATATTTTATTGCTGAGTTTTTAAAATACAGTCTAGTTTTATAATCATGCTAATGATGAAATAGGCAACTTGAGTAAATCGAACAGTGAGGTGGCAAGTGAAATTCGTATTTGGGGTGATGGGCTCCTAATTCCTGAGTGTTAGCTGAGACGCACTGGCCCTCACGGGGCACCTGTGCAGTACTGTGGGCTCTAGCGGTCATTAGCACAGCAGGATTGCAGAAACACTCACCCGGCATCTCAGGTTTGTGTAATATAGGGAGAGTACTCCATCCTCTGAAACTGCCCATTGTCCTGCTTGTGACTTGTTGAGCTGGCGGGGTCTGCCCCTGGACGGTGGACCACTCTCGGGTGAGGACCTGCATTCAGCACCGGCCTCGAGCAGGCTGTTCTCTGCTGAGGGACAGTATCGGTGTGGCACCCTGTGCTCTGTTCACTGTAACTCTTACTTCCTCGGTACATCCCAACACTTGTAATAGTCCATTTTCCTGCTTTGCTGCCAAAGCTTATTTTATTGTATTATTTTCATGACAGGTAACTGGTTTATGTCCCCTTTTTTCTTTCAAAGGGGACACAGTTGTTTTTTGTTTTTGCCTTTTTTTTTTTTTTTTTTTACTATAAAATGAGGGTGTTATACTACATGGCTTTATCTCTAAAATTGTTTGTTTTCTCTGCTTCTTCTTTATGACTTAATGATTTTTCATTGTACTTATGGTGCCGCGTTTATTTCATCTGTTGACTGGGTGTTGAGAGTTTTTTGTTTTTAAATTTTCACCTAGATCAATTCATTTGTATTATAGGAACCTGGTGATTTTGGGGCCTGCGAGATAATACCAAGTTAACTTTCCACTTTCCTGAAGACACTGACAACTAGTCCTACATTATTAAATGCCCGGAATCTATTTAGATCTTAAAAATGAGACCAGAACTTTGTCCTTGAAAGAGATACTGAACACAAAGAGTCGCTGTAAAGTTTGTGTCCCAGTGATGGTCTGATCCCACCTAGAGAATTATGTTACCGTTAACTGTCAGTATTCTTCGTTAGACTGTGCTTTTTTTTCTTCTGCTTATAAAATTGTCCCTAGTGTCAGGGCTGGAGTTCAGAAAACAGTTCAGTTTTAAGAGGCTAGAGCTTTCGTTTGAAAAAGACTTTAGCTTTCCCAGAGAGTCTGTTGATCTGCGCCATCCCCTCCCCTGTCCCGAGCGTTCCCAGACCCCCGCATCTCTGGTTACACATCTCCTTGTCTGTCTGTGCCACGTTTAGAAGTCTCGTTAAACCAGCATCTGTTCTGTTTTAGGAGAAAGCCGATGCCAGCCCCACGTCACTTCAGCTGCGGTCCCAGATCGAAGTAAGCACCACGCTTTCATCATCTATTTCTGCTCCTGCTTTCTATTTTCTCATTTTTTAAGTGATATTCTGTACAAATCCGAGGAAGCTTGCTGCCCTGCCTGTACTGATGCTGTGGATTTTCTCTCCTAGGAGTCGCTGGGTTTCTGCAGCGCCGTGTCAACACCAGAAGTGGAAAGGAAGTAAGTCCCCTGCCCAGGATCAGAAATTCTGAGATGTCTTTCAGGTCCATGTTGATGGGTGATTGTGTTGTGTATGTTCTGTGGAGCTTGATGTCATTTTCCTTTTATGTTGTGTGTATGAGTACATATTTAGGCGTGGGCAAAAGTAGGTTGTTGTTTAAGTATCCACTCTCGTTGGTCAGTAGTTAAATTACCAGTCATCATTACCTAAAAGATAAATCATAAGTGGGGATATGAAATAATAATAATAAGACAAATACTACAAGTAAATAATATAATAATTAATAAGTAATAATACAAGAATAAACTGTTTTTCCTACTCCCAATTACAAACCTACTTTTGTCCACCCCTGTTTGTAGAGAGGTAATGAGTGTGCTTTCCACTGTAATTTAATTAGTGATGCCTAATGGTGCTGTGACGAGTTACTGCTTATTGTGAGTGGACCCTAAATAAATATCTGGACGTGAGTGTGGAGAGAGAGAAAGGACAGTTAAGTCAACCAAAATGGGCTTGCTTCTTTTGATTTAGTTTTGGATATATGATGGAAGTCATAAAGAAGCAAGGTACAAAATTAAAATAAAACAATGATTGAAACACCCTCCTCTGCAGTTTGATTGGGTGGGTGACCTTAAAACAGGAATAAACACAAGTGACCCAAGATGGCAAATGCTCACTCTCCTTAAAGTTTTTTCTTCCTTGTCCCAGCTTGGACCCTGTCATTTTTACTCTCCTGGACGATAATTCTATATTATAGCTTGTATTTCCAAGTATTTCTTTTAGGCAACTTTCGAAAACAAAACAAATTTCTTCTTTCTGTAACCTTTCTGTTATAATTATGCTAGAATGTTCTATTTATGATCTTCCGAGGTAAAGAAATTTTAAGAAAGTCCACATGTTTAAACAGACACTTCCTCTGGCACAGGGCCACTCATACCATTTCATGCCAAGAGAGACATAGACGTGGTTTAGGAATGAAGTATTTCTGGAATGAAAAGCACACGTTGGGAGAGCGTGTGTGTACTTTGCAGCACAGCTCGGCCTAATCCGTCCACGTGTGCGCTGCTGGCCTGCCGCCACCTGGGGGGGGGGCTGTTTTGCCAAAGCTGCAGTTCTCGGTGGCAGAGGCTCGGCACATTGGTTCAGGACGCAGGAGCACCGCGGGCGATGAGCCAAAGAAGACCGAGGGCAGTGCCCACTCAGGGTCAGAGGATGGGAGGGTGTGCAGTTTCCACGAATTTCCTTTGTTTTGATTGCATACATCCCCCCAGGCACTTAGTGATGTGGAGGCTGAACTAGCCAAGAAGTTGGACTTAACACTGATTTTGAAACTGGAGGCTGCTGCTGCTGCTGCTGATCTGAGTGTGGGCGGAAGTACCGGGTGAAGGGGCTGTAGGCTCACCTGGTCCAGTTGGCTACCTGTGGGCCTGATGCAAGCCCAGAACTCAGGTGTCTCGCGGAATCTCTGGTCGGTCGGGAAACGAGAAAAGTCGGGCTTTCTCCTGAGAGGAAGTGACTCACCAGATCTGTACTAATCTTAGGCCGGGCCTTTCTTCCCCTCAATTGTGGGTAGTCATTCTTTCCATGTTTACAGCCTTCGTGTCGTGAAATGTGGCATGACTCTTGTGGCCAAGAGAGAGACTGACGGCCTCCTCCGAGGTTGACAAGAAAAATAAAATAAATTGGAAGCATACATACGGGAAAGCTGTTGACAAGTCCAACCTCTTCATCTGTAATTCTGCCATTTTGTTTCTGTTTTTGAAAATGGTTTCCTTAGACTTCAGTGTTTCTAAATACATGGAAAGTTTTAATACGTTTGGTTCTTCATTTTCTTATTAATGTTTTTTATATTGTGGAATTCATTTTAAAGAACTTTTTATTTTGTTGATCCTCACTGGAGGATATTTTTCCATTGATTTTTAGATAGAGTGGAAGGGAGGGAGGTGGGGAGAGAGAGAGAGAGAGAAACATCAGTGTGTGAGAGACACATCAGTTGTTTGCCTCCCACACAACCAACCCTGACTGGACCAGGGATCGAACCTGCAACCCAGGTACATGCCCTTGACCAGAAATCGAACTGGCGACCCTTTGGTCCCTGGGCCGATGCTCTAACCACTGAGCCAAACTGGCAAGGGCTTACTTTAAACAACTTTTGAAAAAATGTTAAACTTACAGAAAACTTACAATTGTGCAATAACTGTCCATATAACTTTTAGTTAGACTCATCAATTTTCTTTTTTTTTCCTAAATGTTTTTAAATTGATTTTTAGAGAGAGGGGAAGAGAAAGGGAGAGAGAGAGAAACATCAATGAGAGAGAAACATTGATTGGCTGCCTCCTGCATGCCCTCTGCTTGGGATCAAGCCCCAAACCTGGGCATGCACCCTGACCAGGAATTGAACCAGCAACCTCTTGGTTCATGACACCTTGCTCAACCAACTGAGCCATACAGGCCTGGCAGACTCACCAATGTTCATATTCTCTCTCTCTCTCTCATAGTATCACTAATCATTATTATTGCTGAAGTATTACAGACATCACGGCACACACCCCTAAATACACCAGCATGTATCTCCTAAGGACAAGGTCGTTCTCCTACAGAGCCACAGAATAATTGCCAAATTGAGGAATTTTAGTACTGACTTTCCTGATGTACACTTTATATTCAGGTTCCTTCCATCTTCCCAGCCCTGTTTCTCATAGCACATTTTTTTTAAATCCACACTTTAAAAAAATCATTCATTGCATTTACGTGTCATGTCTTTTGTTACATTTAATCTGAAAGGATTTCTTGGCCTTTCTTGTTTTTTGTGGTACTGATGTTTTAAAGGGTGTAGACTAGTTATCTTGTGGAATATTCCCCCGTCTGGGTTTCCTTCTAAGGTTCAGGTGATGCAGTGTTCATGTTGTTTTCTCCTCAGTTTGTCCCGCTGTTGGTGATACTGATTTCAGTCATTTGATTAAGGTGATGTCTGTCGGGTTTCTTCGGAGAAGTTACAGTTTTTCCTTTGTGTTAAAAAATATTCAGTAGGAGCTCATTTGAGAAAATGTCTATATCTTCTTCCTCATGAAACTTTTACCTAATGGTTTTGGATTCCTTTTTAAAAATTGATCCTAGATGGAGAGGGGGTAGGGGGAAAGAGAGAGAGAGACAGACAGACAGACAGACAGACAGACAGACAGACATTGACTGGTTGTCTCCCATACGAGGCCTGGCCTAGGATCAAATTTGCAGCCTGGGTGTGTGTCCTGACCAGGAATCGAACCTGCGACATTTCAGTTCTCGGGACACCACTCTAACCAACTGAGCCACACAGGCCAGGGCTGGTTTTAGATTCTTTATTTTTAAAAAATATGTTTCTATTGATTTTTTTTTTTTTTTTTTAGAGAGAGAGGAAGTGAGAGACATTGATGGGAGAGAGAAACATTGATCAGTTGCCTCCTGCACACCCCCTACTGGCGATCGAGCCCACAACCCAGGCATATACCCTGACCAGGAATCGAACCAGGACCTCTCAGGCCATGCGCCACACTGAGCCACACTGGGCAGGCTGGTTTTAGATTCTTTTAATGATTCTTGTCTGAATCTATTTTTACTGTGACTTGCAAAATGGTGATACTAATTCTTAAATGAATAATTATTTTGGATTAAATTTTCCAAAAAGGTTTTTCTAGAAAGATTGAGGTGTCACTCTGGACACGAGGTTAGATTATAATCGGAGTAGGTTTAACGCAGTATTTATGTTGAATTATTCGTATTTGCGTACTTGAAAATACAAATACTTTGAAAGCAAAATCCTGCTCTCCTTCAGATCAGAATGCTTGCTGGTAGCTTTGCCAGCCCTGGGGGTGACCTAGCAAAGCCGTTGGTTGTGTCTGGTTTGTGTCTGCCAACCCAAATATCCCTCTGAGTCAGCAGTGTTGTTTTATGGGCAGATGTTTGCTTCTGCTTTTTATTTGAAAGGCAAGAGAACGCAGTAAACAAAAGTGGCCGAATGCTACAGAGGCAGAGGGTAGATTGCAGTAGACAACATGAGCGCTGAGCCGTGGGTCCTTGTGGGTCCTGCCCCCTCTACCCCCCCGGGAGTCTCAGGGGCCTGGGCACATCTTGCTTCTTCCCGTCTCCCTCAGTTAAAACCTGCGCAAGGAAGGCATCAGGCATTAATTACGATGCATATGTCTGATTTCTAAAAAAGTAACATCATCTCTCCCAGGGGTGTTTGGCATTTAACGGATTTAATCTCTTCAGTGACAGTGATGTAGGTCTGCCCATATGAGGTGGGGCTTTTGTAGGGGAGACAGGCAGTGAGAACCCGGCTTCACTGCACCTGGATACCCTCCAACTGGGGCTGCTAGGGCTCTGTCGGCCTGAGATGTGGATGACCTGCCGCATAGATAGATAGATAGATAGATAGATAGATAGATAGATGATAGATGACATATAAGAGAGACACAGACCCTCCCCCACTGTTCCACAAAGGCCCCTTTCATCCTATTTTCTTGCAGTCTGTCCGGTCTCTCCGTGTGCTTATACTGAAATGTATGAAGACCGAGGGAGCTTTCATTTGAACTTCTATTTATGTCTATTTCCGTCGGCTACAGATGAGACCGCCTACTTTATCTTGGGTTTGTGTCAACTGGCTGAAAGGTGAACATTAGTTAAATGTCTTGTTACCTCCCAGTTAGTCTCAAGAATATCTAGAAAGCAAGGCCTTTTGCTCGGAAATGTCTTTGTAACTGTATCGATTAGGAACGAGTTTAGCTACGAATAACAGAAAAGGTGACAAATAGTGGGATAAACAAATCTGAGGTTCATTAGATAATCCTTGTTCCATGGTTGGCACTGAGGCTCAGGTAAGCCTTCAGGAGCCAGACTGCGTGTGTGTGTGTGCGTGTGTGTGTGTGTGTGTGTGTTCTCCTGTTTTAAAGTGGGTTCTGCGTCTTCCAGGTGGGAAGGAGAGAGAACCAGGGTGAAAGGAAAAAGGTAAGAGGGCAAAGGCCAC